CCCGCTTCGGATTCTGCGTCTCCCTCTCTCGCTGCCCCTCCCCCATTTGTGCCCCCATTTGTGCGTGTGCTCCCTCTCTCTCTCAGAAATGATAAATAAAGGTTAAAAAAATTAAAACGGTTAGGATGGCAAATTTTGTTCTGTGTATTAGATCACAACAAAAGAAGAAGAGGAAACAAGTGGCCTCGGTGGGTGAGGCACTGAACGGAAGCAGGGAACTTGCCCAGCAGCGGGGACAACGCGGGCCTGAACGAGGCATCGCCCCCGGGACCCCCGCTCTCAGCACAGAGCACGGAGACCTCCCTGCACGCCCCCCACCTGCTCCGTCTGCCCGTGAGGGTCCCGGGCTTCCCCCCCCCAGCCCCCTCAGGTCACGGTCACTGGGGTGCATCCCTCCCTTTGTGCCAGTAACTCCAGGCGTGATCCTGACGCCACGAAGTCACCAGCGACACCACCGGCCGAGGCAGCCTGACCTCACAGGGCAGAGCCCCACCCCTTCCTAATCCCGGCCACTCCCCGCCCGCCCCGCTCACTGACTCCCCTCTGGTCCTCTGTGACGCTCAGCTTCGGGGGTGCCGGAGATGAGCCCTCTCCCTCCGCCCGGCTGCATTCAGTGTCCCCATCACTCGGGGAAAAACCAAAGGTCTGTGTTGAAAATGACACGTCCGCTGAGCAAAATTCAAGTCGTGAGCCCGGGCTCCCACCTGCCTCCTCAGCGCAGCTCGGTGCCCCCGCCGGGGGCCCGTGGTTCCTGCCCCGTTCCGTGCTCCTCCTCCCCGAGCAGAGGGTCCCTGTCGCCTGGGAAGGTGGCGGCTCTGAGGGCAGGACGTGGGTCCCGCGCCGCAGCCGGCTCCGGGAAAGAGCATCTGCAGGGGAACAGCAGGGACCCCCACCGCCCGGCACGGACTGACGATGCTCAGCCCCTGCCTCACCGCTTCCCACCGCCCCGCGGGGCAGGTGCCTGCGACCCAAGGTACAGATGGCGACCGGGCAGACAGTGGTGGCGAGGGCAGGTGCGGTGGCCCCTCGGCACCACTGTCTGCTGAGGACCTCGGTACGTCCAGTGCCGACACACCCTCCCTCTCCTGCCCCGACTGGACCACTCGCCCCCGGGTCCCTCCTGTAGCCCCACGAACCCCCGCCCGGCGGCTGAGTCCCTCGGATGATCTCCGTCCCGGTCCTTCTGCCCAGACACCGAATGAGACGACTTTCCCACCTTCCGGGGGCCTGGCCCGTGACTCGCAGGCCTCCTGGCTAAACGGTTTCCTGAGGGGAAAACAGGACCACGGGGCCTTGCTGAGAACTCCCTGCCATCGGTCAGGACGCCACCAAGGCTGAGTTCTCTGAGATGCAAACCCTTCAGCACCGGCCTCTCCCGTCTTTCCAGGATTCCGGGGCCTTAGGGGCCCTCGGAGTTACAACCTTCGCGCAGGACCAGGTGGTAACCAGTCTAGGCTCCGAGAGCCGGGTGGGGTGTGTCGTGAGCGGTCACCTCTGCCACAGACAGCTGGGGGATGAGCGGGTGTGGCTGTGTTCCCATCAAACATCCCTTGAGAAAACAGGCCGAGGACTGGGTGTGGCCGGGAGGCCGTGTTGCTGACCCCTGGCTTCGAGAAAGGCAGAAGGGAAGACGTTCACCGGCTACGTTTCTTTTCTTCCTGAGTTCAGGACACCGTCACGGCCCCTGGGGGCTCGGGAACTGCTCATTTAGAAGCGTCTGTGACCTCCCACGCCAGCTGGTTCCCCTGTAAGTCGGGGGTCTCCCCCACCGCCCCCCAAGAGGAGGTGCAAACCCATTTCCTGCTGGATCCACACAGGGTGGTGTGTCCCCAAATCGTAGCAACTCGCCTATCTTTCTGCTCCTTGAGTTTCCAACTAGGACGATTAAAAAAAACCCAAGAACTATTTTCAAGGCCCTTGCAGACGGCCATTGGCAGGGTGCCAGCCGCGGCTGGCGCTGTGACGGCAGGGTCCTCTCTGAACCAGCCGGATGGTGCCTTCTACCCGGGAGAGCAAATTCCAAGGGACTTCTGGGGTTAAAGCTCCAAGCCTCCGATGCAAGAATGCTGCCTCCCCAGGCCGACTGGAGTGCCGCCAAGCCGGTGAGAGACATCGCCGTTGCCCTGTGGGTGTTTGCACAGTTACCTGCAACAGTTATTAAAGCCAAGTAGCTAAGACACTTAGAGTGAATTTTAACATTTATTTATTTTTGAGCGCACGCGCAAGAGAGACAGAGCACGAGCAGGGGAGGGGCGGAGAGAGAGGGAGACACAGAATCCGCAGCAGCTCCAGGCCCTGAGCTGTCAGCACAGAGCCCGACGCGGGGCTCGAACCCACGGACCGCGAGATCATGACCTGAGCCGGAGTCAGACGCTTAATCCACGGAGCCCCCCGGGCGCCCCTAGAGTGGATTTTAGAGCGACCACTGGAAAACCAAACAGAGGACGAGCCGCTGTCTCACAGTTCAGACCTTTGCGCCTCTTAAGCCCCGAAAATGAGGCATTTCTAACCCTGAAAAGTAGCCGGCACAGCCCAGGCACCTGCCACGGTCACGCGTAGCCTCCGTGGGTCAGGGGCTCGGTGAGGAAGGCACAGCGCTCAGGTCGGGCGGGATCCCCACGGGCCTTGTGCGGAAAGACGCCTGGGAGGGAACAGGAGGGGCGGCTGTGAGCTCAGGACCGCAAGCCACTAACTGTCCCCGGGGGGGGGCGGGGACACTTGCACTTGCAAAGCCGATGTCCCCTCCAGTTTGCAGAGTGGGGTTTGTAGCCGCGGCAGCCACTCGCGGCTGTCTGTCCAAGAGGCGCACGGGGGCTGCCTCCTGTGAGGTCCCTTGCTGGCGGCTGCCGGGACTTGTCTCCGGGGCTCAGGGAGTTTACAACAGAGCAAGGATGTGCCTACCGCTGGCGGACAAATGGGAGGCTCCTGTCGGGGCCCGTCTGTCCTTCTGTCTGCACTCCCTCAGGCAGGCGTCCCGCGGGCCGGTTGTGACCATTGTCTCCTTCACAGAGCCACCAGGATGGAGAAGCCGTCCCCAGCCTGGGGACGCCTACACCTGTCGCAGCCCAGAGAGGCCAGGAGGCAGCGGCCGGGCTCATCCCCGCCCAACACAGGGGGGCGCCACCCCGCCAGGGATGCTCTCCCCGGAGCCCTTCTCCTCCACCCGGACACGGGAAAGAGCCCACTGGGGTCTGGAAGGCTGCAGGGCTGAGGCCCAGCGAGGAGACGGGCTCACAAGGACAGAGCCCTGGCGTGTTGTGCTCGCTCTTGAATCCCCAGCGCCTGGCACATCCTTGGAACAGAGTTGGCTCAAGAAACACCTGCGAAATGAACGAACGAATTACCAAACAGAGAAGCAGAAACTATGACTGAAACATAAAAGTCCATTAAAACGTGTAGGGCTTCCTCACCGTGCCCAGAGCACCAGGCTTGAAAGCAGGGAGGGGAGGCACACTCCTCGGGGGCAGAACTCAAGGAAGGCCCCAAACTCTGTGACCAAGATAGACAACTTTTTGATGCAGTATTTGAGGAAAATCAAAGGGCACGCAAATAATTCATGATAACCTTTTTAAATTTTTTTTAAATGTTTATTTTTGAGAGAGAGAGAGAGAGAGAGAGAGAGAGAGAGAGAGAGCATGAGCAGGGCAGGGGCAGAGAGAGAGGGAGACACAGAACCCGGAGCGGGTTCCAGGCTCTGAGCTGTCGGCACACAGCCCGACACGGGGCTCGAACTCACGAACCGTGAGATCGTGACCTGAGCCAAAGTCGGACGGTCGACCGACTGGGCCACCCAGGCGCCCCTAAGTCATGATAACCTTCAACTCAACAGACAGTAGAGGTGAGGGAACTGTTAACCTCAAAAGGCAGTACTGGCTGAAAACGGGGTCCACGAAGGGTTTTGATAAAGTCAAGAATAGATTTAGAATAGAAGTTAGGGATGAACATTAGTCCAGAGAAACAGAACCAGTAGGATATGCACAGAAATAACCAGGAAGACATGTTTAATGAGGGGTTGGCCCATGTGATGATGGAGGCTGAGAGGCCCCGTGGCCTGCCGTCTGCAAGCTGGACACGCAGGAGAGCTGGGGGTGTGGGTCAGTCCAAACCAAAGGCCTGAGCACCCACGGGCGAGGGAAGGAGAAGATGGGAAGACAGAGGTCTCAGCTCAAGCAGAGGGAGTGAATGAGCCTTTCCTCCGCCATTTTGTTTCATGCAGGCCGTCAACGGGTTGGCTGATGCCCACCTGGTCTGCCTGACTGGATTCAAATGCTAATGTCTTCAGGAAACAGCCTCACAGACACGTCCAGAAATAGCTCACCGGCCACCTGGGCATCCCCTACCCCAGTCAGGCAGACACATAAAATTACCCATCACAGGATGCTTGGGGTGAGGTCATGGAGGGTATGGAGGCTTGGACATCAAGTGAGCCCCATTTGCTGCATTGGATGTGCAAGAGACCTAACGCCAGTGGGGTATTTCTTACTTTTTTAAAAAATAGTTTATTTATTTATTGGGGGGGGGGGTTGGCGTGAGCAAGGGAAGAGCAGAGAAAGGGAGAGAGAGAGAGAGAGAGAGAGAGAGAGAGAGAATCCCAAGCAGGCTCTGCACTGTTAGCACAGAGCCCGATGCAGGGCTAGAACCTAAGACCATGAAATCATGACCTGGGCGAAGTCAGACCCCTAACTGACTGAGCGACCCAGGCGCCCCCCATTTCTTACTTTTAATACAACGCAGCGCAGGAGAGACTGATCCGATTAGCAGAACGAGGCAAGCTAAGTGGGTCTCCTTCCCCCGAACCCCCAACCCCAAGCCTCCAGCCTTTTCTGAGGGAAATGGCCGGACAAGCGCGGGTTGCTGGGGCAGGGGACTCCCGGCCCCACAGTTTGGTCCCCACAGTGAGGCCACTTGGGAAATGACCACTGCACGACTGTCCCCACACCAGGGCGTAAAGCCACCCGGCACCCGGGCCTGCCATTCATCTCCAGTGGCACGGCGGACCCTCACGGCCCTGGGCACGCCGCCCGCCAGGACGCTTCGGAATTCGTGGGAGCCAGCTTTCCCGATTAGCGCGAGAGGCTGGACGGACAAAACGGCCAGCAGCCGGACCGTCTGCGACAACAGAACCTTCACGCAACCGTGGCTTCCCTCATCTTCCCTCGCTTTCAACCCAGGACCGATCAGGAAAACATAGACGTGCCCCAGACCCAGCCACAAAGGATGTCCCGCTCCTCGTTAGCCCACAGCTCCCCCCCCACTTCCCGCTCCGCCATAGGCTCTCCCGTCCCTGTGCAAACGCAGGGACGGTGGCCAGTGCCCCACCGACGAGCCCTGAGTAAGCGGCCTGTGTCTTTCTTGGGCGTCTGTTCATTCCCACAAGCGGACGGGGCGGCCAGGGAGCGAGGCCAACCTCCGACAGGACAGGGACTTACTTCCTGTGGTTCTGGGAATCCACTGGCCTCTTCTTCAGTCAAGAGAACTCGGTGGTGGGGGGTGTCCGTCCTCACGGTGTGGTCTCAGGCTGCCTTGGGAAAACTGGAAAGAGACTTTCTAAATAGTTCAGCTGCGGCCCCCGGCTTCAGGAGCCCAGCCTGGGCAATGGGGCTGTCTCGGGCCCTCTGTCTCTGAGAGATGGAGCTGGACCTGCCCGGGTAGGGGTGTCACAGTACCGTGAGGGGCTCTGGGCGCTCCCTCCGCCTGGGAAAGCATCCCCCAACTTGCAGAGGGGAGCGTAGGGTGCTTCTGAGGCAGGATGGCCGAGTGGGTAGGAGCCCAGACACAGAGGCAAATCGCCAGGGTTTCAACAACCTTGGCATCCAGCCTCTCGACACGTCAGTTCGAGACGCGGGATAATAAAAGCGCCCCCAACCTAGGGGAGTCGTGAGGGTGAAGAGAGACATTTGTAAGGCTTCGGGAACAGGTCTGGTGCAGGGAACGGGTCTTACCTGGTATCACCCGTCTCCACTCTTTCTTTTGCCGAACAGAACAATAAACGCGCAGGTTCTCGTGGGATCTTTTTTCGCCCCGAAAGCGAAAACGAACTACAAAATCTCTAATTTCGAAGCAGCTCTTGGGCATCCTTCATACTATTTCCAGGCTTCTGGGCACATTCCTTAATTCTGTTCTTTTCTTTCCAGGTGGAACACCGAGTCCCGGGGGGAGGGCGGTGGTGGTGGGAATGCCAACGGGAACATTCCGGTTGCTGAAGAACCCGCTGACCGCACCAAGACGGGAGACTTCCGGGTCGTCTGCTCCGTCTTAGGTCACCGGACTGGCCTGCCTCCCGCTGGGTTGGCGGGCCCTCCCTCCTCTTGAGCTCGGCGGGCGGTGAGGACTGGCGTCCTCGAGGCTGCCTTTTCGGTCGTCTTCTGCTCTTGCCCTGGTCCGTCTGCCGCTACCTTCCTCCAGACCCGCCCTGCTCTTCCCCTGCACCTGCCCCAAAGATAGCGCGTGTCAACGGGGCCTCGATTCTCAGCCTGTGCACCTGCTCCTTTGATCGTGAGAATGTCCCTATTGAAACGCAAATGTGTTCCCTGATGGGGACGGCCCTGCACAGCCTTCTCTGGTTGGTTTACATCATCACTTGTCACCCAGACTCCCCTGTTTAAAACTGCAATCCCCCTTCCCAAGGGGAAAACCCAACCAGCTCAACCCCCCTGCCCTCCCGCGCCCCACTGTTCCCGCAAGAACACATCACCTTCCAACGAACTGCCGTTATGTACTCATTTGTCACGTTTATTTACTGTCTGTCTTCCCACATTAAATGTAGAGTTCCGTGAGCTGAAACAGTGCCGGGTAAGCGCTTGGCTTGGGGAAGATTTCGCTGGACTCCTCGGTTAATCACCTGGCATTTAGGGCCCATGCTCAGGAACAGGCGGAGACCTGACTGCTCTGGGCCCACACCGGGCACGGGGCTGAGAGCCAGCGTTCACAAACTCTGCTAACACCTTGCCCTTCCCAAGGCATCTAGGTGCACAGTCGTTTTTCCGACAGTTCAGCGTTATTGCGTTTTACGAAATTGTTAGCCCTGTAACAGATTGGACTTTAAAAGCGAAATAAAACCAAAAAATAGGTCCTTTGCCACAGGTAGTTTGAGAAGCACGAGGCTGGCAAATGAAAGAGGCCTGAAGACCTGGGACAGAGGAAAAACACATTTTTTTTAAGTTTATTTATTGATTTTGAAAGAGAGACAGAGACAGAGCATGAGCAGGGGAGAGGCAGAGAGGCAGAGAGAGAGAGAGAGAGAGAGAGAGAATCCCAAGCAGGCTCTGCACTGCCGTCACGGAGCCCAATTCCAGGTTCAAACTCACGAACTGTGAGATCATGACCTGAGCCGAATCAAGAGTCGGGACGCTTAACCGGCTGAGCCACCCAGGCGCCCCAGGAAAAGTCCATTTCTAAGATACAAGTTTAAATCAAGGAAGATCCAGAGCGTGGGATGCCGTGTGCAGAGCTATGGGGGAGCAGGCAGCCAGGCAGGCAGGGGTGCTGAGGCCTGCAGCCATCTGGCCCATCCTCCCACCCCCACCCCCACTCGCCTGGGGGACTGGGGGACGGTCACCATACTGTCCGGTGGGAAGGGCTCAGGGTGGCCACCCAGTCTGCCGGCCACACCACCCTGTGGACTTTCCAGGCAGGACGTCTCTCCACCACCCCCACGGTCATGGTTGGCCAAGCTAGAAATGGCACTCGCTGCTGCTTGCCCAGGGTCTTGAACTTGGGGGTTCAGAAAGAGCTAACACACCCTCTCCCGGGGGGGGTTAAATCATAACCCGGGGGGTTCAGGAGGCTCCAGAGGAAGAGAGCGGTGGACCAGGTGAACAGAGCAGGAGTGAAAATGGAGACAGTCCTGACAGCATTCTGGAATGTCCCAGGTATCCTGAGCCCCATCTGCCCCGGGGGCTCTGGGTCCTGTGCAAAAGAAATCCCAGTCGTTTAGGCTTAAAGAAGCTTGGGTTGGGTTTTCTGTAGCCCTGAAGACAGGGCCGATCCAAACGCAACGACCCCATGCCCCAGAGTCAAGGCCACACCCTTCTATGGGATTTGATGGTTTGGGCTCCTTTCCGGGTCCTGGCTCACTGCTGGCCAAGCCCTGAGGGACAGGGCCTCCTGAGCTGGCAAACTGAAAGGAGACGCGGCGGGTTCAAATGGAGCGTGTTGGGACTGGGTCCCGATTCCTGCTTGTCAACAAGTCAGCAGCAGCATGGTGAGGTCACTGTTTTTGTGGCTCAGCTCTGAGGGGGGGTTGGAAAACTCGAGTTTCAAGGACGGGTCAGTATAAAGGGGCTCGTTCTGCAGGGGCGGAGCGTGCAGGGGTCAGCCTTCTGTGTCCTCGTGGTGCCCCTACAGTCCCCGAGTTACCCTTTCCGACGCTAACCTAGGTGCTGCTGGGAAGGTATTTTACGGATGGGATAAAAGTTCATCATCGGCTGGCTTTACGGAAGGAGACGATGCTGGGCTATCTGGGGGGGGGCCTCGTCCAATCAGTTGAAAGTCTGAAGAGCAGAGCTGAGGTTTCCCTGCAGAAGGAAGACTCCCGCCTGTAGCTTTGGCAGCTTTGGCCAGCACCCTTCCTAACAGCCGTTCCTACAACCTCAGGCTTGCCTCGCCAGCCCCCTCGGTCACGTGAGCCTGCTCCTTGCGACAAATCTAGACACACACACACACACACACACACACGCACACACCACAGGCTCCTGGTTCTGTGTCTCCGGTCGAGCTCTGACTGGTACACAGTGCGTTAGGAACTTGGGCCAAGTTCAATACCAGAGCCCGGGAGCTCCCGCATTGTGGACAGTCCATAGCACCTGGCATCAAAATCTCTCCCGGGCCCAGCAGAGCTGATGCCGGTGGCACAGTGGGACTGCCACGCGGGCCGTGGATCCCGCAGCATGGCATGAGGCCATCTCTCGACAAGCCGGTGAGAAGAGATTCTCAGACGCGAGCAAGTCAGACGGGAAACCCGGGACCTTTTCCTCTCAAGGTGAACCCCCACTCCAACGTGGGGGAGAAGGTGCCGTAGACCCCAGCGCCCGCCTGGCACAGCAGGAGCGGTCACCCGAGCCCTCGGACCAGCCCCGCACAGGTCAGCTCAGTGCCCTTGGGAGAGGCGCCCCGCCACTCCGTGCCTCGGTTTCCCTATTTACAAAGTAAATTAACCGGGTGACCTCTAAGATCCCGCGACCTCTGGCATCGGTGGTTCGATCCACAAGGCAGCAAGTGTGGCATCGGGCACAGGGCACCGCGCTCACACGTGGGGAGCCCGATGCCTGCTCTGGAATCGCTGAACCGCCTTTGAGAAACCTGAATTTTAAGCGAGCTTGACGAGGCTTCAAGCCTCACCCAAAGAGCACAGCTCTCGGCCGGGGCGTGAGGCCCCACAGCGTTTCTCTGCTTTTAGGGGTGCTGGTAGCGACCCAGTCTTGCTAGGGCCGGTATTGGGGTGCTTTTCCAGCGCTCTGTCTTAGCGCATCTAACACGCTTGCCCTGGGTTTGTCCCTCCAATGTACAGGTGATAAGCGTTCACTCTGACCTGGGTATCCGGTACCTTCCCTCCATCTTTGCCAGGGAGAGCCTGGGAACCGTCTGTCCCATCAGAAGGCTCTCAAAGCTGCCGATGGCCAGGAGGACACCTTTCAGATGGAAATCGGTTGCGTGCCTGGCTCGGGCAGCAGCTTTGGAAAAGCCAATGTGGGGTGCTTCCAGGACCCAGGACACCCCCTCCTTGTACTTGGTCCGTGTCCGAGGCTCTTGTCTTCACCCCCTTTTCCGTCAGCTTGAGAACCTGCTTCTGTCTCTCTCCAGCGACTTACGGAGACGGCCACCACCCTCGAGAGCTTGATAATTCAAGTTACGCCTTGGAACCTCCCAGCGGATGAAGCTGTCTGTTTGCTTCGAATGCGCTCAGACATTTGACATAAACCACACGATGCAGAAGGGCCTCCAACTTTCCAGACCTAAGGAATGAGGCTCCGGGAAGGGACACCAGCCCGGCCGCGTGCGCTCTCTGCAGGGAGCTGGCCGGGCCTTCAGGGGGTCAGTGATGAAAACCAAACGCCCCGGGGCCTCTTAGGAATGAAAACGAGATAAAAGTGGGCCTGGAGAGCGGGGTTTACAGACAGTGCTGGAATCCGTCTTGGGATCTGGAGACTTTTCCGGATGTGTGTTCACGTGTGTGAGTTGTCTGCAGGGGCGGGAGAGCACGGCGTTGGTGGAAAAGCGTGGGAGAAAATAGTGCAGACGCAAGACAGGCTGGGCCTTCAGAATAAAAGTA